TGACCCCTTGACTTAGACCAGAACTGGGACTGTGCCTACTGACTTCACTTTCGGACAGGCACAACTCTAAACGAACAGACACATTTACTACTTGAACAGGCACTTTCCATTGCACGAACAGGTACACTGCCTACACGTACAGACACACCCTTACTCGAACAGACATGACATACACATCTCCTGGTGAACAGGTAAGTCTTTTGACAATGCCCTTTGCCTTAGATTTAGATGTGCCTGTTGATAGAGAACTTGACTTTTGACCTGTTTTCACGTTTCTGAGCCCTGGCAAGATACCTTTTCAAAATGCTTTACTTTTACAAGGCCCGTGCTGCTCTATTTTTACAAGGCCTGAGACCTATATCGGGTAAAGGCCCTTTTATTATATTAAATTGTCTTTTTCCTTGAAAAAAAAATAAAAAAGGGAAAAGGTAAAACTTTTCCTTTGCTTTTTCCTTTTGCTTTCATTTTTGGGGTTGGCCTTCCTTCTTTTTTTTTTTTGTCAAATTCACTGTTTTTTTTTTTTTTTCATTGTAGTCTTAGTATCTTACAGCATGACATCGTCCAATGGCATGTCGGCCACGCAAACTGTGTGCAGATTCTCCAGGCTTCTTCGCGACGTTAGCCAGAGAAGAAACTTCAGTTCTGCTCAGGAGGAGGGGTTTTAACTTTTTTTAACTCCAGCAGGACGAAGCGAGTGCCGAGCAGTAGCGGGACTGTCAAAAAAAAAAAAAAAAAAAAAAAAAAAAAGGGAGGAGGACTGTGACCTGCGACTGTTCAGGAGGGCGGGATCGAACCATCAAAGCCATCATGGACACAAGGGTGTCTTTGCTGAGGGGCAAAGGGAGAGGGGAGGGACAGGATGGGAGAGACTCTGAGGAGGGTAACGTTGGGAGAGGAAGGGGTGAGGAGTGGTTGTTGCCCGCTCGGCGTGTGTTTTGCGTGGGCGCCTTGGGTTTTGCGACGCTGGCGGCCATTTTGGCAATGGGTGTGTACTGGAAGGGCTACGCCGCGGGAGTTCGAGTCCAACAGCAGTCAGCTGAAATGCGCGCAAGACTTAGCGATGATGATCGGACAAGCTCTGCTGTTGTCGAAAACGGAGACCTGCTGGGCAAGGGAGATGCAAAGCCTGTGGGGCACTTTCCGTGGCCCCACCCTCGCCGCAAACCTACAGTCCTGTTGATCTCTGCTGACGGCTTTCGATGGGACTATGTCAAGAAGGTGCCCACTCCGAACATCCACCGGCTGATCAACGAGGGCACGTCGGCCGACGGAGGGATCATTCCCGTCTTCCCGAGCGTCACATTCCCCAATCATTACTCCATCGTGACCGGGCTTTACCCCCAGCATCACGGCATCATTAATCAGAAGTTCGTGGACCCGGACACCGGGAAAAAGTTTAGGCCCGGGGTTGTCGATCCAAGCTTTTGGGTCGGCGAGCCTATCTGGGAGACGGCCACCCGTCAGGGCATCCGAGCGGCCACCTACTACTGGCCGGGAGCTGACGTCACCAGAAAACACTGGCAGTGCGGGAACGCCTACTGCCATTTCTTCAACTACTCGACGCCCTTGGAAGAACGAGTGGACACCACTCTTGCGTACTTCGACATGCCGGAGTCGGAGCGCCCACAGCTCATCAACCTCTACTTGGGCGAGCCGGACGCGGCAGGTCATCAGTGGGGATCGGATGCGCCGCAGGTGAATGAGAAGATCGCACTCGTTGACCAAATGATCGGACGGTTGCTGGCCGGGCTGGAGCAGCGTCGAGTTCTCGACGACACTCACGTCATCATGCTCGCCGACCATGGGATGCTCACCGTCTGCGGCAAGAAGAGCGTGTACCTGGCCGACTTGTCGCCGCGCTTCAAGGACCCCGAGACCCAGTCGTGGATGGACACGATGACTCCGCTTCTGGCCCTCCGCCCGCCGCCGGAGGTTGACGTCAACGCCCTGTTGGAGGAGATGAAGAGCAATCTCCCCACGGCGGAAAACGGCGAGCTGCTGCAACTCTTTCTGAGAGAGAACACACCCCCTCGACTGCACTACAGCAACAACAGCAGGATCGCCCCGCTGCTAGGACTCATTGCGGAAGGCTTTGGCATTCGAATTGAACGCGGGGACGAACACGTCTATCTAGGGCAGCATGGCTTCGACAACAATGTGTCCGCAATGAGAGCCTTCTTCGCTGCCAGGGGTCCACGATTCGCCCCGGGCAGACGGGTGCCCTCCTTCAGGAACCTCGAGGTTTACAACATCGTCTGCAACATTTTGGGAATGAGGCCCAACCCTAACAACGGATCGTGGGCATTCGCTAACAATTTCTTGCTCTGGCCCCATTCGCAAGATTCTGAAGCATCATTGGTTCCTGAGAATTCTTAGGTTATCTAACTCAAATGAGTCAAATCCAAATTCAAATCACTAAACAACCACACACTGGCTTGTTGGCGGGGCGGGGGGGAGGGGCACACACAGAGAGAGAGAGAGAGAGAGAGAGAGAGAGAGAGAGAGAGAGAGAGAGAGAGAGAGAGAGAGAGAGAG